CCCTCTGATCAAGTGAGCTACGCCTCCTCATCCCCTCTTCTAACACCTCCGTCTACACACCTGCCTTGCCTCTCTCCTCTGGTGCTGGTCCCCCCTCCCTGCAGGTGTCTGCCCTTCTGCTTCACCCCAGAATCCCCTGGCACCTGCACCTTCCCTTAGCCCTGTACCCTCCTGGTGCCTCCCCCTCCCTTACTGCCCCTGACCCTTTGCCTTCTTTTTCCCTGATGCCCATCCCCTCGCCACTCTCTGCCCCATTCCCCTCCTGTCCCTCTGTGCCCTCACACATGACTTACTCCATCCCCACCTTCCTCATGACCACCTCTTCTTTCAAGCCTTCTCCCAGCACCTCCTCCTCCCCCCTCTAGCTCCCAATGCCCTTACCCTCTCCTCTCCCAGCATCATCCTGTCCCCCCTCCCTCTGACACCTCCCCTCCTGCCCTTTTTCTCATTGTCTCCACTTGGCCCCCTGGCATTTGTCTCTCCTCCACCCTGTCCCTTGGTGCCTTCCCCTTTCTTCTCCTGACCTGCCCCTCTCCCCTCAGCACAAGCCCCTTCCTCTCCCACCCATTCCTCCTATTTTTCCCCCTTCCTCTACCTTCCTCTCCCCCACATTCTCCCTTATAGTTTGCAGCGCTGGAGTCTGTGATCAAGCCCCAGAAGTCCCCACAGCTCTGGCCCCAGCTGCTTCCGGGGCTCCAGACCACTTGCTGGGCCTGGAGCTGGGTCACGCAGTGCAACTCTGGGCTGGGCGGTTTTAAAGTCCAGGCTGTGACATCACGCCACACTTGGGCATCTCCCCTCTCAGCTGTTGCGCAGTGTTTGACCACACCATGCATGCGCTCCCTCGGCCCCATTGTGCCCTGTACATGACCGGCGCCAGGGAATTTAAAGTGCGGGGCTGCGGCACCCCGTCACAATCCCCCTCCCTCCTTCAGCAGCTGCCAGCTGGCCCTTCGGGGGATGGCCCACCGGGAAATTCCCGGTATCCTGTCGGGCCAGTCCGTCCCTGGTTACCACACCACTCTTTCTAGTCACTGCCGTGTAGACTGTACAGTTTATATAGGTAA